CCCACAAATATATACTGTCATTTGTTTATTAACTAATTTTCAAGGCCCACTTATTAAAAATACAAAAAGTACAGCTAGTTCTCACTCAGTTGACAATTAACTTTAATGCATAACTTTTAATAAACCAAAACATTTGTGACATTAATGGTTTTACTTAGCCTGTGAAGAAATCAAGTATTTTACAAAATTGTTACTATTATCTTAAATAATAATTGAAATAAAAACTGTCAACCTTGTCTTTACTTTGTTCAAAAAAGTCTTGATCAAATAAAATCCTTTCACAATGATATACAGAGTCATTAATGTAGCTAAAAAAGTCACACCAATCTAATCCAGTCAAAGCCATTTGACACTGAACTTGGTGATAGTACTGGTGGTTTCTTTTGAGCATAAGTTGGCCATCAAGTCCTTTTTCTATGTAAAATACTGTGCTGAAGTCTCTAGTACCCTCCTTGGGAACTTTCACCTCAAGGAGTCCAAAGGGCAAAAGGCCTGCATCCTCAGCATCAAAGTCGTATACTTTGCGATCTGGTGAAGCGCCAAGCCAAGGGCAGAAAGGGTTGATAATTAATCCAGAAGGATATATATTCACTTTTCCTTCCTTTGCAACATTTGCATATATCTCTACTGCTTTTGGCTCCATATCGATTCCACGTTGCATATCAGGTGTAACCACTCTCTTCGTAGGGTTGAGTTGTTTCACTAGATTWTCGAAACCAGATTGCCTTTTAGCCACTAGCCCAAATTTGCTTGCAGTGATTCTCTTTTCGCGCAGAGAATACCATAGCTGACTTGCTGACTGTGAGAGTGTCTTGTGTTCTATCTCAACAGCTTGGTCCAGTGTCACACTGATAGAGTTAAGGCCTGCAAGTTTCTGCACAGGTAAACAGATGAGGTAGTTATTTGTAATCCTTTCTTGTGAATTCTCCAGTGGTAATGCTGGAAATTGTGGACTAAAATAGTCATTTATGACATATTCATTGGACAGTTTTTGCTGATAAGACAGTACTGACCCTTTAGGGACTTTCCCAAATTTACTTGCTACCATGGCAATAGATAGTAAAGTATTGTTATCATAGGCTATTGTTGCCATCAGTGGCTGTGGCTCAAGTCCACTTAGTTGTTCATTTGGCATTATAGGGTAAGCTTCTGCTGGCGAATAAAGGGTGCTCTTTATGAACTTCGAATRGTCTGCACCTTGCCTGGGCTTTTTGACCATAAGATCTTGTACAGGCTTGTTGGCAATTTTTCTTTCTCTTGGCACACTCCACCTTTGGGGAATGCTGGTGCAGGTCAACTCATCTGGTATGGCCTTGTACCCAAGTGTCTTACAATGTGCCATGTAAAACAGTAATCCAACAACATGGTGACAGAACCCCCCAACACCAGCTACACGAACAACGGCCCTTTATTGACTTGGATGCCAAATCTATGTCAGCTTCAAGAGTGTGTGGAGGCTTGCTTTTCTTCATCGATCGATAACATCTTGAATTCAGTTTAGCTTTCTCTTGCGAATAGCGCACTAGAATGAATATCACAAGATATGAATTAAATTAAAAGTTGTAAACATACACATGTCTTAGAAACATATAAAAATCATCATACAAAGTTTAAAAACATCTTACCTTTAATGTTATGCAAATAGCCTGGTTCGGCACAAAATTTGTAGGCCTTCGTGGTGCTTGAACAGCCGGACTCCTTTCGCGCATATTCCTCCACATCTCCAAATGTAAGTTCAGGAAGTCTCGATATATCAGTCAATTCRTCTGGAATCATTAAATTCGAAGATAAATTAAATTCGAGAAGCATTTTAAGCACAAAAACAGTCCATAAATTGTTGCCGCCAGCAGTYGGCGAAGATATCGCACCTCGAGTTTTAAAACGAAAATCAGGCCTCAAATGCTAGCAAATATGAGTTTTTATTAGTATAAGAGGATCTGTAGGTATATCTACATTCATTTCAAAAGAATCTTGACAATTGAAGAGAAATTTTGATGTTAAATCGGGGTTTGAATGAGTCATAAACATACCTGAGAATTCCGCCATTTGCACACGCGTCTTCTGTCCACGGCGACCAGAATAAAGACAAAAAACTCTCTTTTGCGGCCAATCTTTATGATAAAAATTATCGCCAACGATAAAAAAACACTTCTTTCAAC